CGGTGACACGGTTCCCGCCCCTCCGGCCCCGGGAACACGGAAGAGGCGCCGTTCCTGCGGCTCCGGAAAGGCGTCAGCGCGGCCATCTCCGGGGGATCCCGCGGGACAGCGGCGGCTTCCGATCCCCCGATCCCCCGGGAGCTGCTGGCCCTGCCCCGGTGATCCCGGTGATCCTGACCCCGGTGATCCCGGTGATCCCGGTGATCCCGGTGATCCTGATCCCAGTGATCCCAGTGATCCCCGGGAGCTGCTGGGCTGGTGATCCCTGGGAGCTGCTGGCCCTGCCCCGGTGATCCCGGTGATCCCGACCCGTGATCCCAGCGATCCCCGGGAGCTGCTGGGCCTGCCCCAGTGATCCTGACCCCAGTGATCCCAGTGATCCCGACCCCAGCGATCCCAGTGATCCCCGGGAGCTGCCAGCCCTGGCCCCGGTGATCCCGGTGATCCTGACCCCAGTGATCCCAGCGATCCCCGGGAGCTGCTGGCCATGCCCCAGTGATCCCGGTGATCCTGATCCCAGTGATCCCAGCGATCCCAGTGATCCCTGGGAGCTGCCAGCCCTGGCCCCGGTGATCCCAGTGATCCCAGTGATCCCAGTGATCCCGGTGATCCTGACCCCAGTGATCCCAGCGATCCCGGTGATCCCGGTGATCCCTGGGAGCTGCCGGCCCTGGCCCCGGTGATCCCGGTGATCCTGATCCCAGTGATCCCAGTGATCCTGACCCCAGTGATCCCAGAGATCCCGGTGATCCTTGGGAGCTGCCAGCCCTGGCCCTGGTGATCCCTGTGCTCTCCGTGCCCCCCGGTAAACCCTGGTGGGCCCTGCCTGGCTCAGATCCCGAGGATTCCCTGCTCTGATCCTGAGGATTCCCTGCTCTGATCCCGAGGATTCCCTGCTCTGATCCCAAAGATTCCCTGCTCTGATCCCGAGGATTCCCAGCTCATCCCGATGATTCCCAGCTCATCCCGATGATTCCCTGCTCTGATCCCGATGATCCCGACTCTGATCCCAATGATTCCCTGCTCTGATCCCGACGATTCCCAGCTCATCCCGATGATTCCCTGCTCTGATCCTGATGATCCTGGCTCAGATCCCGAGGATTCCCTGCTCTGATCCCTGCTCTGATCCCAAAGATTCCCTGCTCTGATCCCGATGATCCCGGCTCTGATCCTGGGGATTCCCAGCTCATCCCGATGATTCCCTGCTCTGATCCCGATGATCCTGGCTCAGATCCCGAGGATTCCTGGCTCTGATCCCAGCTCAGATCCCGATAATCCCGGCTTGGCTGGGCTCACCCGCGATCTGCTTCATGAAGGTCATGCAGACTCCGTCAGCTCCCAGCACTCCGCTCTTGACCAACTCCCGCAGCAGCCACAGCAACTGCACGGGGAGAGAGGGGGTTAAAAACCTGGGGGACCTGGCCCCAAAACCCTCTGATCATCCCCAAAACCCTCTGATCATCCATGGGGGTACAGAGAGGGTTAAAAACCCGGGGGAACCCGGCCCCAAACCCCTCTGATCATCCCCAAACCCCTCTGATCATCCCCAAACCCCTCTGATCATCCATGGGGGAGAGAGGGGGTTAAAACCCCGGGGGACCCGGCCCCAAACCCCTCTGATCATCCCCAAAACCCTCTGATCATCCCCAAAACCCCTCTGATCATCCCCAAAACCCTCTGATCATCCATGGGGGACAGAGGGGGTTAAAAACCTGGGGGGACCCGGCCCCAAAACCCTCTGATCATCCCCAAACCCCTCTGATCATCCCAAAACCCCTCTGATCATCCCCAAACCCCTCTGATCATCCCCAAAACCCTCTGATCATCCCCAAAACCCTCTGATCATCCCCAAACCCCTCTGATCATCCACGGGGGAGAGGGGATTGGGGGAGAGGAGATTTTGGGTGGAAAAGGAGAATTCGGGTGGGAAATGCTGGGTAGGAAAGGAGATTTCAGGTGGGAAAGGTGATTTTGGGTGGGAAAGGGAGATCCCAGATGGGAGATTTTGGGTGAGAAAGAAGATTCTGGGTGGGAAAAGAGATTTTGGGTGGGAAATCCTGGGTGGGAAAGGAGATTTCAGGTGGGAAAGGAGATTTTGGGCTGGGAAAGGAGATTTTGGATGGGAATGGATATTCTGGGAAAGAAGATTTTGGGTGGAAAAGAAGATTTGGGGTGGAAAAGGAGATCCCGGGTAGGAAATTTCAGGTGGGAAAGGAGATTTTGGGTGGGAAATCCTGGGTGGGAAAGGAGATTTTAAGTGGGAAATTCCAGGTGGGAAAGCAGATTTTGGGTGGGAAAGGAGATTTGGATGGGTGGGAAAAGAGAGTTCATGTGGGAGAGGAGATTTCGGGTGGAAAAGGACATTTGGGGTGAGAAATGAGATTTTGGGTGGGAGATCCCAGGTGGGAAAGGTGATTTTGGGTGGAAAAGGAGATTTTGGGTGGAAAAGGAGATTTTGGGTGGAAAAGGAGATTTCGGGTGGGGAATCCCAGGTAAGAAAGGAGATATCAGGTGGGAAAGGGAGATCACAGGTGGGAGGTTTTGGGTGGGAAAGAAGATTTTGGGTGGGAAATTCCAGCTGGGAAGGGAGATTTTCAATGGGAAAGGAGATTTTGGGTGGTAAAGGAAATTTTGGGGTAGTAAAGGATATCCAGATGGGAAAGGAGACCCCGGAACACTCACAGACCTGGGTCCTGCAGGTGTCCTGCAGTTTCAGGTATTTCTCCATCAGGATGTGATTTATTTTGTTGAGCACGATGTTCATCCCATCCCGGCTCACCAGTGCCAGGTCCCGGTAGCACTGTGGGGAAAAACGGGAAAATCCATGTGGGAAATGCCCCAAATCCCCCAAATCCACGTGGGAAATCTCCCAAATCCCCCAAATCCATGTGGGAAATCTCCCAAATCCCCCAAATCCATGTGGGAAAT